TATAGATCAAAATAAAGCTTATAACAAGGGGAATATAAATACACATAATCTAATCATTGAATAATTATACAATAAGAATATTTATAGAGTATTATTCCATTATTAGTCCTCGGAAGTTACCCGCAATTTAATCTTCACTGGGATATGACAGTTAGCCTATGCTCCTCCCTGAGGGGTGACAGGCGTAAGTAAGTATGGTATTCAGAAATTTCTAATGAGAGGCAAATTATGAGCCATCTGATGCTTGTATTACAAGAATTATCATTAAATCATTATGAGGTCAAGTTTATATAATAGGTGTATTTAACTGATAAGACATTATTGATTAACTTTAGGTTCATTGTAAAGCGCAAAATCAGCTTCTTAGGTACCCAGTAGTAATTTGTTCAATGCTAATCAATAGTTGAAATGTAGACAACACAAACCTTGAACTCAATTATCACTGAGTTGTGACAAATGCTGAGTAGCTTTGAACCTTTTCAGTGTTGGTCGACCTTTGTCGGCTAAATCGTAGTCCAGTAGGTTAAACGTTCGCTCATGAGACTGAAGGCTCTGGGTTCGGATCCTGCAATTGAGATCGTGGATGCGTAATGCTGAGGAGTGCCACAATAGAACGAAACGACCGTCCATTGCTTCCAGGTTTCCAACGGTGGTCTAATATCAATCGGCTCATGATCTCAATCAAAAATTTAATAATCCTCACTACCCCTATACTCATATATGATAACACAGATCTGGATGATTCGTAATGAACTGATACAAATCTTACATTCGTCGATATATATTACTGATGTTCAGTTTTCCTTATCCTTATTAATATTCCATCTATAATTTCATGATACATACTACTTCTAATAGACTACTTAATAGAATATGTGACCAATTAAATTAATACACATTTAAATTCACTTCGCATTGTTTTACTTGAATCTTCCTATTGATGTTTAGGATTGCAATTGATCAGTCTCTTATTGATATATATGCATCCTGCGCGTATTACCTCAATATTGCCTTAATTCACAAGTATTCTAAGTAAAGATGGATAGTGGCTAGTGGTGGAATCTAGGACGGGTGTTTCGTCCTATTTGGAACTCGTCAACTTGATGTACCTTATATATATCAAGATATAGAATTTCTGAGACTAATTAATTATTTCAGTTAATAAAGTTGATCATTATATCTATGTTAAGCTAATAAACATTATCGATCAAATCTAAAGGTCATTCAATGATTTTAAATAATATTTTGATACTGAATACACATTATTATTATTATTACTATGTGCGTACATTACCTTAGTAACTGGCTATTGATTTTTACGTTATAACATTTTTTCAACGGATAGCTAGATATGGTCATGATTGTTTATCTTTTAGATATCAATGGTAAACTATTCATAAATAAGTCTAAATGATGGTTTTTTAATAGTTGAACTCATGAGTCGATTAAAGCTGGACCACCATGAAAAATCTGAAAGCACTGGACAGCTACTTTGTCCTAGTGTTGGACTCTTCAATAGTGCACATCCACAATCTTGCACATTCGACTCGAACTCAGAAGCTTCGGTTTCGTGCGTTTAACCTCTAGACCACCGAGCCGGATAGTAATGGAATGCAGGACGTGTTTCTTGTCCTATTAGAGACTCGTCAGCTGGATATACCTGTATCTCATAGTTGTTGTTCACTTTGGAACTCGAATCCAGTACCGTTCGCTTCAAACACCATCACGTTATTCACTTAGCTATTGAGTCCTGTTAGCCATTTACTTCTGCAATGGAATGAAGTTGAAATCCATTTGGTGTTGTTTACTTGTATCTTCCCATTGTTTTTACGAGTGCAATTGATCAGTCTCTTGTTGGCATATGTGCATGCTGTGCGGACGAAACGCGTTTTATGGATTCCACTGCTAGCCACCATCCATCTTTGCTTAAAAATAAGTTTTCACTCTTTGAGAACAATATTTTAATACTGAACATATAGAAGATTTAAGAAGAGTTAAAATTGAAGTATACAGATTAGTTATCTGTAAAGAACAAACAATTTAGCCTAGAGGTTATATTGATACTAATTATCCTAACTTTGTATTTCAATTAAATCAAAGCAGATTAAAAGATGAACCATATAGTCAATCAACTGAAGCAAACTCGACTGTTGCTTTTGCTCATATCAGTCAATCGTCTTAGATTGTTCCTGCATTTCCATACCAATTACTTTCATTTCCCGTTCTTTCCTCCTCGATCTTCTAGACGTTTTTCTACCAGACAATCTATTAATGACTAGAGTTATATACTACTTATGTCGATACAAGTAGTACACACCACAGTATGAGCTAGCTATTATTAATATTCAGAATTTAATCTATCAGGGATTATTTAGTTATTATTTACTTTGAAATTTTTTAAATACCTTAAGCTTTCCAATGTTAATGATAGACTTAATCTTATCTGACATATGTCCATCTTGTGCTGATTCTTTTGATATTGTCAGCAGCAAGCAGCGATTTGGAAGACTCTCTCGGTCTCCCACATTGTACGAGCATTCCACGTATCTAAATTAATGGATGATCTGATTGTCAGAATGGGCATCAGCCTCGCGACTTCCGAAGGAACTCCTCCTTTATCCGGGTTTAGGACCGGCAGTAGCCCCATAGGGGCTCCAGGCTGTTTTTTATATAGAAATCATACTATATACACTCTATAATTAGTTCTCCATAGAAATATAAAGTGAATAAAATGTGTTTTTGGAATGTTTTTCTAATGTTCTCTGTTTATAATTTTATTAGATAGAATTAGATAGTGATTAGCATTGGTAAGAATGATGTGAGTTTCGTCCAAATTATAACTCATCGGACAGATGCAGTTGTATCTTAAAACTGAAGTTCATTTTTGGAACTCGAACTGAGTGTGTTGATCCCTTTAAGTGTCATTGGGTTATCTACTTAGCTATTGAATCTATACAATTACTGAATTGTGAAATAGGGTAAAGTTTGTTTTATTTCTTTTGAGTTTTATTGTAATTTCCTATTGATCTTTGGAACTGAGTTCGAGTCCCAGACGATTAATCCAAAGTAAAAGGAAAATTATGTCCTAAATTCCACTGATAATTATCATTCATCTGTATTTAAAAATATTTAAGACTTAATGACCATACCAAACTACGCCTGGAGCCCCTCTGAAGCTATAGCCGGTTCCAACCTCGGATAAAGAAGGAGGGTTGGGCATAAGATGAGCGAATTCATCCCGTACGAAACTAACTCGCTAAAATAACGCTAACCAGAAAAAATTATTCAAACCATTTAAACTACACCGTAGGAGCTAGAAGGTCTTCATTTAGAACAGTTATAAAGTATCATGATGAGAGCCGAGTTCCTTTGGAAATCACGAGGCTGATGCTCATTCTGACAACTAGATCAACCATGAATTCAGGTACATGGAATGTTCGTACAATGTGGGAGACCGGGAGGGTCTTCCAAATTGCTGCAGAAATGAAGAGATACAACCTGGAGGTACTTGGAATTAGTGAAACACATTGAACGCGAGTTGGACAACAATGACTAGGTTCAGGGCATTTACCGTTATACTCCGGCCATGGAGAAGAAAATGCTCCACATACACAAGGAGTTGCGTTCATGCTGTCTAAACAAATACAAAGTGCACTTATAGGATGGGAATCTCATGAACCAAGGATCATCAAAACCTCATTCAAAACAAAGAAAGAGGGCATTACAATGAACGTCATCCAATGCTATGCGCCTACCAACGAAGACGCTAAAGATCAATTCTACAATAGGCTACAGTCAATCGTCGAAAAGTGCCCAACAAAGGACCTGATCATTCTGATGAGATATTCAAATGCCAAGGTTAGAATGGACTACACTGGATATGAAGACATCATAGGGCGACATGGACTGGGAGAAAGGAACAAAAATGGTGAGAGATTTGCAAACCTATGTACCTTCAACAAACTGATCATAGGTGGCACTATATTCCTTTATATTGAAAAACAAAACCTTCATACAAAACAAAATATATTTCTGATTCCTATCCTCAATGAAAAAAGAAAAAAGAATACAGTCACATTGAAATGATGTATACAATTGTAGAGTTGAAGTTTTTTCCAACGGTAAATAGTCCCTTTAAACATTCCTATCATCATTTTCATTGACAATTCATGATAACTATATTATTCTTAAAGCAAATATTAATGATATATATATATATATAGTAGAAATAAAAAAGAAAAAAAAGAAATAAACAAGAGCGCTTTTCTTTCTTTTCTTTTCTTTTTTAATGTTGTTGTTGGTGGTGATGGTGGTGGTAGTGGTGACGATGGTGGGGGGGGCGGTTGGATGGTGATCATGGGGGTGTTGATGATTTATTCAACTTTGGTATTTCTTTCATCTCTTTTCTTTTTCTTATTTTTTCTTCGTTTTCAATGTTTTTTCTTTTAAATCATCATGTGAATTTGTTTCTTTTATTTTCTTTTTTATACTTTTATGTAAATAATGAACAAATTTTTCACCAAGTAATATAAATCCAATAGAGATAGACCAAGTGATTGTATAATTGAAATATCTAAGTAGTAGATTATATTTAAGAAATTGTGGATATGGTGATGTATTCCATAAAAGAATTCCAGTTTCTATGCTAAATGGTTTTTTTGGTGTTGTTGGTGTTATTTATTGTGTATGTTTGTTTGTTTGTTTGTGTGTGTAAGAGTGTGTGTGTGTGTGTGAAAAATTCGTCAAAATATCATGTTAGTTATGTTATAAAAAGGAAAAGAGAAAAAAAAGAAATGAAGGCAACATTAAAGTTTAAGAATAGAAATTTATATAATGGAATATACCATGTAATGAATATTTACTTAAATCAATAGACAAAAGAACATATTCATTCATGTACTTGTTGTTTGTGTGTATTCTATTTCATTATAGAATGATGTAATACATTTGTGTATTGAATACTTGACCATTTGTATATTAGTGATGTTGTATAAAGTATGCTAAACGACTTCATCATCATCATCATCATCATCATCATCATCATCATCATCATCATCATCATCATCATCATCATCATCATCATCATCATCATCATCATCATCATCATCATCATCATCATCATCATCATCATCATCATCATCATCATCATCATCATCATCATCATCATCATCATCATCATCATCATCATCATCATCATCATCATCATCATCATCATCATCATCATCATCATCATCATCATCATCATCATCATCATCATCATCATCATCATCATCATCATCATCATCATCATCATCATCATCATCATCATCATCATCATCATCATCATCATCATCATCATCATCATCATCATCATCATCATCATCATCATCATCATCATCATCATCATCATCATCATCATCATCATCATCATCATCATCATCATCATCATCATCATCATCATCATCATCATCATCATCATCATCATCATCATCATCATCATCATCATCATCATCATCATCATCATCATCATCATCATCATCATCATCATCATCATCATCATCATCATCATCATCATCATCATCATCATCATCATCATCATCATCATCATCATCATCATCATCATCATCATCATCATCATCATCATCATCATCATCATCATCATCATCATCATCATCATCATCATCATCATCATCATCATCATCATCATCATCATCATCATCATCATCATCATCATCATCATCATCATCATCATCATCATCATCATCATCATCATCATCATCATCATCATCATCATCATCATCATCATCATCATCATCATCATCATCATCATCATCATCATCATCATCATCATCATCATCATCATCATCATCATCATCATCATCATCATCATCATCATCATCATCATCATCATCATCATCATCATCATCATCATCATCATCATCATCATCATCATCATCATCATCATCATCATCATCATCATCATCATCATCATCATCATCATCATCATCATCATCATCATCATCATCATCATCATCATCATCATCATCATCATCATCATCATCATCATCATCATCATCATCATCATCATCATCATCATCATCATCATCATCATCATCATCATCATCATCATCATCATCATCATCATCATCATCATCATCATCATCATCATCATCATCATCATCATCATCATCATCATCATCATCATCATCATCATCATCATCATCATCATCATCATCATCATCATCATCATCATCATCATCATCATCATCATCATCATCATCATCATCATCATCATCATCATCATCATCATCATCATTATCATCATCATCATACAAAACAGCATCATCACCATCCAGAGCATCATCACCAACATCTTCTTTGGTAGAAGAAGGCACAAAATACATATGAGCCACACAAGTCAAATAATTTGTGGCTACCTAGGTACATAAACTGAAGCGCAGAGCCTTTGATCTAGAGGCTAAATGCATAAGACAGTGGAGCAACGTTAGAAGATCCCTACCCATGGTAGTTGATGACCAACAATCGGTTCATACGTAATTTGTTTCCTTAAGATTATAGAGCCCATATTTACCATTGGTTTGGAATCAGGGTTTTTCAACTCGTCTAGCTAGATCCTCCATATCCACTAAACAAACATTCATTTTTTCATCCTTTCAATTTCATAAACAACACTTTTACCGCAAAATGGCAATGAATAAAAGTTCCATGTGAGTGATTATATACCAGTGACTATGTGAGAATATTTTGAGAGGGAGAGTTGCTCTCTTTTAGAACCGAAAAAAGAACGTTTTCAGTTCTACTTACAATATATTATTATTATTCATTTATCTTAGATATTTAGTGTATTCAGTTTTTAGTATCAGAAGGGCTTTTGTGAATATTATTAGTAATTTTAATAGTTGACATCATGGGTCAGTTGAATCTAGACCATCATGGAAAACCTGAAAGCACTGGACAGCCATTTCATCCTATTATGGTACTCTTCAGCAGTTCGCATTCGAACCTAGGACATAGATGTGTTGCTGATTTTCTTACATTAGTTGAAGTTAGACATTAACACCGTTGGATACCGGCCGGCTTATTGGTCTACAGGTTAAACATTCGCGCATAAGACTGATAGATCCTCAGTACAAATCTGGTGAAGCCATGATCATGAATGCGTATTGTTGAGGAATCCCACAATAAGATGAAACAACTATCCAGTTCTTCTAGGTTTTCTTTGATGTTCTACCTTTAATTGACTCATAATTTCAACTATTCAGTTTTTCTCATAACATCTCAATATAACATAATGACTATTAAACTAATGACCTTATTAGATAAATTCATTCATAATGTATCATGATGATAAATAATTGAATCCATGAAATAAGAGAAGTTTCTAATATTATCATCATCATCATCCTTATACACCATAAGTTTATTAGATCATTTTTGTTGCTATGGTAGTCTATTTAAGTATCTCTTTGAAATATGAGTATGATTACAAAAAGAAAAAGGAAAGAAAAAGAAAAAAAAAGAAGAAGATTAAAGTGAAGTGAACCCTTTGAATTCTGTCTTTGTCATTCAATATTTATTCTTTTATAAATTGTATACTCTTTGATTGTTCTTTTTGTTTTTCTTTTTTTTATAGGAGGGGGGGAGGGGTGAATTGTTCCTTTTTGTTACTTTTCATAGTTTAATTGAATAAATATAAAGTTATGATTAGTAAAGTTTATTCAGGTTAATGGTAAGATATGCATTGATAATGAAATTAAATGATAAATATGTATCATATTACATTTATTCTATGAGAATATAAAGGTTGTAGGTTCAATCATTGATATACCCTATTATGGTGTACTATTCAAGAGTTTTTAATTTAGATGAACATTTGTTTAATGTTTCATGATTTTGCTGGAGTTTTGTTCTCAGAGCTGAATGGTTCGGTTGGGGAGTTATCATCGTTCGTCTGAATGACATCATCCGCAGCACAAACTTCAGAGAGAAGTGAAATGTTCGAAGTTTGCGCTGCGAATGATATCGTTCAGAAGAACGATGAAAGCTCCACAATCAAACCATCCAGCTCAGAAAACAAAACTCCATCAAAATCATCCACTTAAGCTACAAATCTTCTCAACCATCTCAATGCTTAGTGGTATTCATTGGTTTTATGGCTGATGTAGTTATTATATAAAATTTAAACTAATGAATTGAATTCATTTGGTATTGTTTGTTTGAATCTTTCTATTGATGTTTAGGACTATGATTGATCAGTTTCTTATTCACATATATTACAATGCTAACGGTACTGAGTTCGAGTCCTAGAGTGAACATTAACTCTGGGATGCAGGTATATCCAGCTGACCTGGATTCTACTACTAGCCACTATCCATCTTTGCTTTCAATGCCTGTCACTTAAGGCTCTATCGCAGCAATTCGCACAGGATACACATAAGCCAAAAAGTGACTGATCAATTGCAGTACTAAACATCAATGGGAAGATTTAAGTGAACAATACTAAATGAATTTAATCTTCGTCCTATTGCACAAGCAGGTGGCTACTATGGTTCAGTGGCTAAGTGCGTAACGCAATGGCGTTTGAAGCGAACGGTACTGGGTTCGGTTCCGAGAGTGAACATCAAGTCTGAGATGCAGGCACATTCGCTTGACGAGTTTTAAATAGGACGAAGTGGTGCGTGTTCTGGATTTCACTGCCAACAATCTTTGCTTAGAATGAATTGAAGTCTAATAGATTGGATTTCCGATATTTGTCAGTTGACAATTGACAAATATGCAACCTCATAGTCGCGTAGATAGGAACCACAAATTTCATGAATTGATAACTGAATACAAACAATATACTAAAGTTATAATATCTTGATGCGTTAGGTTTTTGATTACGGCGCAATTGTTGCTTTATTCAGTGTTATTCGTAACTAGACACAAAGATGGATGGTGGCTATCAGTAAAATCCAGGACACGCGTTTCTTCCTATTTGGGACTTACTAACTGGATGTACCTGTATCCTAGAGTTCATATTCATTCTAGAGCTCGAACCCATTACTGTCCTCTTCAAAAGATATTACATTATCCACTTAACTATCGAGTCATGATAGCCACTAGCTTGTGCAATAGTGTGAAGTTTAAATCTATTTGTAACTGTAATCCTTTGAAATTCAGTTCAAGTGTTTATTGGATAGATCGTATACAGTAGAACTATTCACAGCATTAAATCAATTATATAATCATAATTATTATGCTTTCCGGTTAGCGAATGTTTAGTGAGTTAGTTTTCTACGGAATAGGGTCACTAACCCCATGCCCAACTTTCCTCCTTTATCCGGGGTTTGGACTAGTGTTAGCCCCAGAGCAGTTCCAGGCAACCTTCGAGTATAGAAGAGAGTTTTTAAAAAATCATCTCTGTTAAATTAAAAACACAAACATATTGAACTTACAAGATATTATAAACGATTCCAATGAAACATTCAATCTTTAATGCATTATAGAATGAGACTACTTTCGGATGACATAGGTAAGCATCGAGTACCAAAGCAACTGGTGGAATTAAATGCTTTAATTCATTATGTAATACAAAAGAATAAGGAAAATAATGATAGTTGAAATATAATATCTTATGAAAATAGACATTTATAAGAGTAGTGACTAACTGTACTTAGTTAATTACTTACTTACTTTACTTACACCTGTTACTCCCAATGGAGCATAGGCCGCCATGAGATCCCCACCCTATAAGTGCATTTTGTACTTGTTTGGATGGCATCAATACAACTCATTGTGTATATGGAGCGTTTTCTTCTTCATGACTGGAGTATAACAGAAGCTCCCTTGAAGCTAGTCATTGTTGTCCAATGACTAACTGTACATACTGTTTTACATGTTCATTCATAATCATTCAATTCTATTAATCAACTTGCAATATGACCATAAATTTGAGTAAGTCAAAACTCAGTTTTGTAGTTTTATAGTGGATAGGAAACCCTGTGAATTAGACACATTTGCATGATGTATTATCGTCAGAGTTTCCTTTTCTACTAATAGTGTGCAATCACTGGGATCAATGACTATCGATCGGCACCACATAATAAACAACTTAATGTTGGCTATTGCTAACTGATGAAATACTGAAAAGAACTTAATCATATAGGAGAAGAGTATTGATGTAACATTTTAATATATCAAGAACTATATTAAGTTATCATTCATTGTTTGTTTATTTTGCAACCCATATGTGGTTAATGAGTAATACCATTTACAGTAAAGTAACTCATTTAAGTTAGAAGTAAACTTTCAGGAAATTAGAAATCATCAGTAAAGGATTGTGGCATCAAGATATATTTCTTGAAGTTCTAGTGAGAAGCTGTGACGAGTGAAGTTCATCCAGTTACTCACTGAAAATAATGGTGGAAAGTGGTGCAATTACGTGGATTGGTTGAAATTAGACATTAACACCTTTGGATACTGGCCAGCTTATTTGTCTAGTGGTTAATCATGAGTGACCGAATGTCGTGGGTTCAATTCCTTCATGAATGATCTTAGCTGCGCACTGATGAGTAATCCCATAGTAGGACGAAGCTAGAAACTGACAAATACTTTATGAAAACCTCTGTGTTTTATTATACAACCACATATTACGTTATGTATCCAGTTTCATTGGGTAATTTAGTAACTCATTCATAGTTTGTTTAGCTCCAAATGTCATAATATTCAACCTGGAATAGTAGACATAAAGTCAGTTTAAAATCCTAGTGAAATTTTAACAGTTATTTTTGTAAGCAATGATGGATAGTGATTAACAGTGGAATCCGGGACGCGCGTTTCGTCCTATTTGGGACTCGTCAGATGGATGTACCTGCATGAGTTAATGTCCACTCTGGGACTCGAACCCAGTACCATTCGCTTCAAACGCCATCGCGTTATCCACTCACCTACTGAGTCCTGATAGCCACTTGCAATATCGAGCCATACGCACAGTATGCACATATGCCGATAACAGACTGATCAATTACAGTTTTAAACCTCAATGCGAAGGTACAAGCCAAATAATACCAAGTGAATTTAACAGTTATGTTTATTCTCAAGAGTTTTATTAGTGAATAGGTGTTGTACTGAGCATCATTTTTTGGCTAAATTTTGGTTCATCATTGGAGAAGTGTTGTATTGTGCTAAATAGAGTTTTATCATTTTAGCTGACGTCAGTTCGTGATGAAAACTCTAATTCTAATTGGTATCCCTAACGATCAACTGTAAAACATCATTCGTCGAGACTCTAATTTATGGATAACCTTTGAACGAATCTTAAGTGACCTTGAGAAATATTAGATAATCAGCAAACAGTCAGTATAGAGTAAAAATATGTTATACAAAACCAAGGAAATAAAGT